ACTCAGGGTGAAAATCAAGATGGTTCAATCTCACAATATCACAACAAACAGTAATTTTTAAGAGGTCAGACAAGTAGCAGAACAGAAGTAATCTGAAGACTGAATAGAAAATCAAGGAAGAAAGAGATTTCAGAGGACACAAAAAACATCAGGTACAGTGGAGAGGTCAAGAGAAGCGAAGGTGAAAAAGAACGTGTGAATCTGGGAAACAAACTATTCATTCCAGACCAAGGCTACAACAGGAAGTAAAAAAACAGCACAAACTTCCAACACCTATATGTGAAACAGAATATCTCAATAGGAAAAGTAGTACTTGGCAGATGGAAGGAGTATACAGAGTCATTATACCAAAAAGAATTAGCTGACACAGAAGAATTTCAAGAAACAACATATGATCATGAGGCAATGGTGATGAAGGAGGAAGTGCAGGTTGCTCTGAAGGACTTGGCAAAAAGTCCCAGGAAATAGTGGAAGACCAATTGATGTATTTCAGCAAACATATGCTGCCCTGCATGTGCTCACTAAGTTGTGCCAAGAAATCTGGAGGACAACTACTTGGCCAATTGACTGGAAGAGATATATATTTAATTCCATTTCAAAAAAAGGTGACCCAACAGAATGTGGAAATTATCAAACAATATCACTAATATCACAAACCAGCAAAATCCTGCTGAATATTACACAGAAAAGATTTCAACAGCATACTGACAGAGAACCACTAGAAATACAAGCTGTGTTCAGAAGAGGTCGTGGCACTAAGGATATTACTGCCAATGTCAGATGTATCTTGGCAGAAAGCAGAAAGTACCAGAAGAATGTCTATCTGTGTTTCATTGATTATGCAAAGGCATTTGACTGTGTGGATCACAATAAATAGTGGCTAACCTTGAGGAAAATGGGATCTCAGTGCATTTGATCATGCTTTTACTAAACCTATACTTGGACCAAGAAGTAGTCCTCAGAACAGAGCAAGGAAACATTGCATGGTTCAAAATCAGGAAAGGAGTGCATCAAGGATGCATCCTGTCCCCATACCTTTTCAGTCTGTATGCAGAACAGATCATTCAGGAAACTCGGCTTTATGAGAAGGAGTGTGGCACATCAGAATTGGAGGAAGACTCAACAGCAACCTATGATATGCAGATAACACAACCTTGCATGCTTTAACTGAGGAGGGCCTGAAGTATTTGCTGCAGAAGGTCAAGGACTGTAGTCTGCAATATGGATTCAAGCTCAACATCAAGAAGACAACGATTCTCACCACTGAGCCAATTGACTGCACTATATTAGATGGAGAAGAGACTGAGGTTGTTAAAATTACAGCTTGCTCGTATTCACGATCAACAATCTTAACACCAGCAGTCAGGGGGAAAAAAGACGTATTGCATTGGGAATATCTGCTGATATGGACCTCTCCAGAGTACTGAAAAGCAATGATGTCAGTCTAGATACAAAGGTGTGCCTAATCCAGGCCATGGACTTCTCAATTACTTCTTATGCTTCAGAGAGTTGAACAATGACTAAGGTTGACAGAAGAAGAAGAGATTCCTTTGAGTTGTGGTACTGGAGAAGAATCTTGAACATATCATGGATTGCCAAGAAAACAAATGAGTCTGTCTTGGAGAGGGTAAAACCAAGTCTTTCCTTGGAGGCTAGGATTTTTAAGCTCTGCCTCACTTCATTTGGGGACGTGGCCAGGAGAGATCAGTCCCTGAAGAAGAACATCATGCTCAGATGGGTGGACGGACAGCACAAGAGAGGGAGACTCCGGATGAGATGGATTCATACAGTTACTTGGGGTGACTGGGGTTGGTATGTCGGAATTAGTAGACTGGCTCAGGACAGGGAAGGGGTCAGAGCCACTATACATCACAGGCAACTCAGTGGCAAATAAAAACAATAACATACTATGACAGGTTTGGAAGCAGGAGTGGCATCCACTTCCTAAATAACATGCCTCTGGAAACTATGAACTTTGATAAATGTTGATAATTATAATGGGGCATCAGGCCTTTTGTTCATAGGGTTGCTATGAGTTGTGCTTGACTTGAAGGCAATCAACAACAACAACAACTAAATGTACACCTCTAGGGAACTGAGTTTAAAAATTTACTCTTTAACTCTCTAAACACCCCTTAATAAGTACGATTCAGGAGGTATAGAAAATGTAATTTTCCTAAACCTATTTTGATAGTAAAGGCAAGAAATGTACTTTCCTGCAGCCCAGAATAAGACCTACATTGCAAAGAGGACTGAGGGGAGAGAGAGGAGGAAAGTAATTATGCAATAATAAATGAATATTTAAAAAACAAAAAAAGTGAACTGTGGGAGAGGGATGGAAGATAGGGATAAGAGGTAAAAATGTGCAACAATGAATGAATGAAAATCTTTTCTGTAACTTTCCTTAAAACAATAATTAAAATAAAAAAAGTTATTTTTTAAAAAAAGAAATGTACTTTCCTCAAAACACAGGAAACTGCATAGACACTTTGCATCAGCAGAGACATTTGTTATCAACAAAAAAGAAATAATTTACAGAATCCTCACCAGTATCTGCCTCCAGACTGCCCAGGTCAATTTCAAGGTTAACTTCTGTTCCTCCAAGGATGGCTTGAAGACGCTTTTGTTTTACTGTAATCTTCTTGAGCTGTTGTTCCTTAAAAAGTAAGTATCAAATGTAGAAAACAGCAGTAATAAACTTATTGCTAAATAAACAGGCAGCATTACAAACTTAAACACTTTCATCAACAACACAATTAACCAATTTGATCTCATAAATATATATACAACATCCACCGAACAAGAACATAATATACATTCTTTTCCAATGAATATTCTTCAAAATAAACTATACAGTCAAGTGCAAAGCAAGCCTCAAAAAATTTAAACATGGAAATACTTCAAAGTATCTTTTCAGATCACAATGCTGTAAGATTAGAAATCAACAGGAAGGTAAGGGGAAAATATTAAATACATAGAAATTAAATGCTGGGGAAAGTGAAGGATCAAAGAAAGAGAGAAAGATCCCCAACAAAATGGATACAGTGACTGTAACAATGAGCTTAAGCGTATCAGAGACTGGGAGGATGATTCAGTATAGGGCAAAGTTTAGCTCTGTTGTTCAAAGTGTCACTATAAGTCATGGCCAACTGGATAGCCTCTAACAACATCAACATAAAAACTAGGGCACTGGTGGCCTAGTAGGTAAGGAGTTTCACTGCAACTCAAGGCAGGTAGTTTGACTCTACCAGATGCTGACAGAAAAAGAAGAGTCATCTCCTCTTGTGCAATTCACAACTTCTGAGAGCCCACCGGAGGGTCAGCTATGAGTCATTTCAGACTTGACAACAATGAGTTGAGTTTTATAACTACAGAGTAATAGAAAATAGCATTTTAAAACATCTTGATACAAATAACAAGAAAAATAAATATAACACATCAACACCTCTGGGATAAAACAAGCATAGTGCTAAGGAAGCAATTCACAGCAGTACATACACACACCAAAAAAGGGGGGAAAACTAAAATGAGCACCTATAATGCTGTAATTTTAACAAATAAAAATTGTTTCTAATTGGGGATGGAGAGTGGAGTGTGAACCAAAAACAACCTACATTTTCCAGAAGAAAGGAAATAAAGACTTGTTATTCATTGCCATCAAGTCAGAACCAACTCATAGCTGATGCTTGCAAATAGGAAATCCCATGGCAAGAGATTTCCAACTTTCTCCCATGAAACATGTAATCCATTTGAACTGCCTATCTTTGGGTTGCAGCACAACTGCTTACCACTAAACCAAAGACTAGTGGAGAAATAGTAAGTGAAACTCCCCCCAAAAACAAAAATCAATAAAAAGAATAAGAATAGAAGTTGATTCTTTGAAAGGATTAGTAAAATTGACAAATCATTAGCAAATTTAACAAAGAAAAAGAAGGTGGAAATACCAAAAGAGAAATGAAGCAAGTGGCATCACAACAGAAGCAAATGAAACAAAAAGAAAAATATTAAAAGAATAATACTGTGAGAAACAAATACTCTGAAAATCCCCCAACAAATCTGAAAACCTGAGGGAATCAATTCAGTTTCAGACACTATCTGCCTAAACTAACAAGTACTTAATTACAAAATTTAAACAGACCTATTACAAAAGAAGAAATTCTTAAATAAACTCCCAAATGAATCCAGATCGTTTCACCAGTGAATTCAACCAAAGATTCAGAGAAAACAGACATTAATTCTACTCAAACTATTTCTGAGTACAGGAAAAAGAAGGAATACTCTCAAGTTCATTCTAAGAAGCAAGTATAACTGATAGCAAAACCAGGCAAACAAACCACTAACAAAAGAAAGTTACAGACGAATGTTACTTATGAACACAGACATAAAAATTCTCAAGAAGAAACTAGCTAATGAAATATAACACATTGAAAAAGGAATGCATAATAATCAATTGGAGTCACATCTGGTATACAAGGTGAGTCAACGTTAGAAAAACAAGTCATATAATTCACCACATAAATATGACATAGAAAAACCACCACATGATCCTATCAATGGAGAAAACGAACTTGAAAACATTTAACACCTATTTCTGATGTTCAAAAGATTTAAAAATATTTAAAAGAACAGAAAATCCTCACTATAACTTAAATACATACACAAACTCAAAGGACACCATTACTCTCAATAGAGACTGAAAGAACCCCCCTAGTGATCAAAAACCAGACAAAGATGTTCTTTCTGCCCCCACCCCCTCCCCCCAATTTTTGCTGTGTGCTGTGGAGTCAGATCTGGCCGGGACAGGAGGAGGATGCCTATCCTCTTGTGGAACATCTGACTGCAGCACAACTTCTTGCTACTAGGCCACCAGAGCTCCTTACAAGGATGTTCTTTATTCCCACTCCTATTCAATATCATATTCTAAGTCTGAGCCACAGCAATCCCAACCCCAATCCTATTAGAACTCTATAGAGATAGGAAAACTTAGAACTAACTTTATAGGGAAAGGAAAGAAACCAAAGATAAATAAAGCACTACTGAAAAGACAAAACAGGAGGCTTTATATTTTTCTGACTGCTAAACAGTTACATTAGCCAAAAAACCCAGTACTGGTACAACAGAAGATACATATAGACCAATAGAACAGAACTGAGCAACCTGACAAGGAATCAAAACACATTATCTAGGGGAGCTCTGGTGGCCTCGTGGCAAGGAGCTGCAACTACAATCCCAGAGGCACACGGTTCGAATCCACCAGATGCTCTGCCGAGAAAGGAGGGACAAACTCCTCCTGTACCAGTCAGATCTGATTTGACGGTACACACACACCCAAAGAAAACACATTATCTGAAGAAAAGAGATTCTTTAATAAATGGTCCCGAAAACTCAAACAATATTCACACCTTATATCATATACAAAGTTACCTTAAAAAGGAATAAAGACCTAAATGTAAAACCTAAAGCTATAAAGATTATCAAAGAAAATCAAGGAGCAAAGGAGAGCTGGACAATTGTGACAGAAGTAGAATCTATGCCTTTGAGTGGTGATACTAGAGAAGAGTGTTGAACTTATCATGGACTGCCTGCCAGGAAAATAAACTGGTCAGTCCTGGAGAGGGTGAAACTAAGCTACTCCCTGGAGGCAAGGATTTTGAAGCTCTGCCTCACATACTTTGGGCTAGCAATAACAGCTAAGAGAAAACAAAAAGGCTACTAAGAATGTGGACAGATTGGAACTCTTGTATACTGCTGGTGGGGATTGTGTAACTCCCTCTGAAAATGGCTGGGTGCTTACTAAAAAGTTGAGAATACAAATACTATTTGATCTAGCAAGCCCATTACTAGGTATATATCCTGAAGAAATAAGAACTGCAACATGAATAGCTATCTTCACTGTAGCTTTATTTACAGCAGTAAAGTGATGGAAACAACCAAAGTATCCACCAGTGGATGAAAGGATAAATAAACTATGGTATATATTATACACAAAAGAACACTAAAGAGTAATTAAGAATTCATGAAACACTAATAACATTAAGTCAGTCATAAAAGGACAAATACTATTTAAGTCTACTATTCTCTACAACGCTTTGGTAATTTTAGTGGGTAAGGAGCTGCACTGTCAACCCAAAGGCAGACAGATTCACCAGCTGCTCCATTAAGAAACGGGGCAATCTCCTCTCAAGTGATTTGAAGTCTCAGAAAGCTATGAGTCATTTTTGACTTGACAGTTGTTGTTAGGTGCCATCAAGTCAAGTACAACTAATAGAGACCCTATGAATAGCCAAACTGTACCCTGCCTATCATGTGTCATCATTATAATTTCTGACATACTAGAGCCTGATGCTGAAGTCACCATGTCAATTCATCTTGCTGGGGATTTGCCTCTCCTTCGTTGACCCTCTATCTTTCCAAGCATGATGTCCCTTTGCAAAGAACAGACTTGTCTACCCACATATCTAAAATATGAAAGACAAAGCATTGTCATTTTTGCCTGCAAGGAGCACTATGGCTGTACATTTTCCAAGACATATCTTTTGTTCTTTTGGCAGTCCATGAGATATTCAGTACTCTTCTTCAGTACTCTTCTCCAATACAACCCAAAGGCACAAATACTATTGTAATTCTTATTCATTGTCCAGCTCTCCAATATATAGCAAGTGATTGAGATCACTGAATGGATTAGATGCACCTTAGTTTTCAAACTGGTAGCATTGTTCTTTAGCATTTTGGAGAGGTCCCTGACAGTGGACTCAACCCACTGCTATTCATCTGATTTCCTGTCTGTTGGTACCAAGGATGTTGACTGTTGAGCCAAGCAACAGGAAATCACTGACAGTTTCAATCCTTTCTTGATTTATTATAATGTTGACTAGTGGTCCTGTAGCAAGACCTTTGTTTTCCTGATGTTGAGATGTAATCCACACCAAAAGCCATAGTCAGTCCTTGATCTGCTGCAGCAACTGTTTCACTTTCAGAAAGCAAAGTTGTACCATCTCCATAATGCAGGTCGTTGATGAGTCTTCCTCTAATCCTGATGCCACATTCCTCTTTTATAAAGTCCAGCTTTGTGAATTAATTGCTCAGCATAAAGACTGAATACGTATGGAGAAAAGATACAACTGTGATGCGCACCCTTCTTGGTTTTAAACTATGCCATGTTCCCCTGCTCCATTAGGACAACATTTTCTTGGTCTAGGCATAGTATAATTAAGTGTTCTGGGTTTCTCATTTTCCTCAGCATTAGCCATAATGTGTTATGATCGACACAATCAAATACCTTTACATAGTCAATAAAACACAATTCTTCTGGAATTCCTTCTCACATCCTCAATGATATCCTGGTGCTGTAGTCTCTTCTAAAACCAGCTTGAAGTGCAACAATGAATGAATGTAAACCCAAAATCTCTGTAAATGTTCATTAAAACTAATAAAATTTAATAATAATTTAAAAAAATCTTAATATTAAAAAAATCAGCAATGAATGAATGGAAATAATAAATACATACATACATACATACATACATACATACATACATAAAACAAACCAGCTTGAACCTCTGGCAGTTCTCCACCAATGTACCTATTTCAAATAATCTTCAACAATATTTTGTTTGCATGAGATGGTAATTATGGTAATGGTTCAATAATCTCCAC